GAATATAGCTTATGTCGTGCTGTTTTATCACGTTTATCAGAGTTCAGAACCAATATATAAAAATTGGTTCTGAACTCTGATAAACGTGATAAAACAGCACGACATAAGCTATATTCTATCTCTGTCTTCTGTCCTGTTTTACCATTAAATCTGACTTAGTGTTTCGATTTTCTGCCATTTATCCTATGGCGGCACTCGTGATGTTGATTACGTGTTAGACCAGGCAAAGTGGAGGCAACGAGCAGTCCATAGTTATATAGTCAAAGGTTCAAACTGCCGCCACGCAAAAAAGCACGTCGTTTATTGGCTGGAAGGAATGCTACCCCCTCTCATCATGCGCAATGGTTCACCTTGTATACTTCCACCATGGGGCATACAACGTGAACAGACCTTCAAACATCTGTGCTGTTAGTGCTATGGTGTTAACTGAATGATATGAGATCTGTATTTTTGTTTGAATTTCAAAATCTGAAAAATGAGGAAGCACTGTTGAATATGCGCAAATAAAATTGAAGTTAAGCTATAGTATGTATATATATTTTTGCTGAGAAACGAATGGAGACTGTTCGCAATTTTACTGCGTTATATAGGTTAAATAAATGTATTATATAGGTTAAAGGTATAGAGGGGTAAAGGGGATAGAACGTCGAGTGTTTCAACGCACTCAGGATGACGTTACCCGGCATCGGGGTGTTTGGCACAGGCAGTATCGTCCGGATTATTATACCCTTTCTCAGAGAAAAGGGCTTTAGAATCGAGGCTATATGGGGTCGTACGCTGATGGAGGTCTCAGAGGTAGCGAGTGATCTTCAAATACCATTTTATACCAGCCGTATAGACGACGTTCTCCTGAAGAAGGACGTGGACCTAATCTTCATCATGTGCTCGCCGAGTTTGCATTCTCAGATTGCTGTCAAAGCACTAGGCATAGGGAAGCATGTTGTGTGCGATAAGCCTGCGGGTCTGAGTCAAAGTGAGGCTTTGAAGATGGTACGGGCCGCCCAGTATTATCCCTCACTGATCAGCATAGTCAATCATAGCCTAAGGTTTTTGCCAGCCTTTGTACATATGAAGAAGGCATTGGAAGATGGATATCTGGATGGATCTGTAACAATTATAGAAGTGCGAGTACATATGGGAAGTTTGTTACACAACGGTAAGTACAGAGAAATTAAATACCTGATTTTATACATTTATAATGCAGTATATAATCCTAAGATTATACAAAATCTCAAGATTATACAAATATTTTCAAGTTATTGAGTTTTAAAAAATATTGAAGGTAAAAGACTCTAGAATTAATTTACACTAAACCATTCTGTAAAAATTATTGACTTGCGCATTATAATATTATATGTAATGGAAAAAATTTTTATATAATAAATAAGTAAATAGTTTGCATAAAATATTGGGTTAGCATTTATCTTAAATGTGCGTTAATTAAATGCTCGGTTAATTTTTTCAGGATATGATTGGTTGTGTGATGACACAATGGGTGGAGGAATCCTGGCGTTGGTGGGCAGTCACGTTATAGATTTGATTTTTCACTTAATGGGTCAACGAGCTTCGCGGGTGCATGCTGTTGTGAGAACATTTACCCAAACAAACAAGTATATCAACGGGATCAGGCACGTCACGTCGCCAGATTTCTGTAGCTTTCAAATGGAATTGAGTGGCGGCACTTTAGTAACGGCTACCTTGAGCAATCACCTGCAGGGACAGCTCTCGCAGGAGGTGCTGATATGCGGCGGTGGAAATCATTTGGTGGTGCGAGGCGGAGACCTGTATGGATGCCGCGGTGAACAAGAGGAGATCCTGTATCGCGACACGGATGATTTGCAAGGGATGTCCTTACCGATGGCGGACTCCATACCCAGGCCCTATGTCAAAGGACTCAGGAAGATGATCGCTGCGCTGAGAGAAGCCTTCCAATCTGTCGAGGATAAGAGAGGCTGGATTAAGGAGCCAGTGTTTTCCGCGTCTACGTTTGAAGATGGCCTATACGTGCAAGCTGTTATTGACGCGTTGCGACAAAGTAACAAGCAGCGTGGCTGGGCCAAAGTTAACATCTTGACGGAAGAGCCAGATCCGAATCCTTTGTTGAGCGCTGCTGTCAGAGCTACAGCCATCTCGATATAGAAGTCTGCTTCACAGAAGCTTTTCGTCATGAAGAGCTTTGTTGTACTGTTTTATATTTAGTATACATAGAAGCTGTATACTGATATATTAATTACGAGAGATAACCCTGATAGCACATAAGTCTCAGTTATGTTACAGTTATGTTGCAAAGACGTTTCAATATCTTTGCAACATAACTGCAACATAACTGAGACATAACTGAGACTTGTTGTGCTATCAGGGAAGGCAGCTATCCCATTTTAATTTTTCCATCATTTAACTTATTATCGTTTACGTAATACAATTCATTTTTGTGCAAGAACATTAATGTATAATTTATTTGTATTGTACATACATATACAAGGTGTTATGTACTACCCGCCTCACTTCTTATTTACAGATAAAGCGGATTAGACTGATTGTGAGTCGAAAAGTCCTCTACCATTTTGCAATTTTTGCAATAGTTAACGAGTTAATTATTAAAAGTCGTCTTAAGCCCGCTGCAGACGATGCTATTTTTTCTGCTGGATTGCTTGCAATCTAATAAATTACTATCATTGCACCACTCAGCACTCAGGATTCCTAGTAATTTAGTAAATCGCAAGCAATCCAGCAGGAAAAATAGCATCGTCTGCAGCGGGCTTTAGCCCTGCCTACCGCCCAATTCAAGCTCGCGGCGAGATGATGTCCCGCGATCGACGTTGCTAGGTGCGCGGGAAATTGTTTATGACACACGGCAAAGGCTACGCATGATAAACAAATTCTCGCGCGCCTAAGTAGCAATGCCGATTGCGAGACTGCAGCATCTCGTCGTGCGCTTGAATTGGGCGTTAGGCCGGGCTAAGATAGCGATTTTTAATAATTAATAACTCATTAGCTATTGTGAAAATTGCAAAACGGTAGAGGACTTTTCGACTCAGTTTAGTCCGTTTTATCTGTAAATAAGAGGTGAGACGGGTATTATACAGGGTGCTCCTGGATTAAATGGCCAAACTTGAAAGATGTATTTAGGACCTCAAAGCATGAAAAATTTTCCTCTGGAGATATGCTCGTAAACGTTCCGTTCACGAGATATTGACTTCTGAAGTTATGAACTGTTAGGAATGAATAATTTCGAAATAATTTAGATTTATAATATCCTCTTTATTGCTTTTTAATAATAAAAATTTAGTTATTAAACGTTTTGTTCAAAATGATGGCCTCCAGCTTGGAGACATGCATTGCACCTATCGATGACAGAATGGCTGACTGACATTATGCGTCTGTAATTTCGTTACACGCCTGCACTATCCTCCGTTTTATATACAATACCTAACACCCTGTATATGTATATTTATATATACATTTATGTATAAAAATGTTTACCAGTGTACAATTGTCGACACAACTGGCATCAATTTATTATTAGAAATTACAGTTCGCAACTTAGTTTTATACATTGTCGCTTGAAAAAGTCCACAACCCGTATGGTTGAAACGTAAGAGGCTTGAAATAAGTTGCGATCTGCAATTTCTACTAATAAATTTATGCCAGTTGTGTCGACAATTGTTCACTAATTAATTCTTTACTGGCGATATTTAAAAAATGTTTATATTTATAAGTATACTGGTTGTGTACTTAGAGTAATAAGAATGTTGGTAAATCTGCAGTATAACATTTTGAATTTTGTGAAATTTTCAGAATTTGTGTATTTTTATGCGTAAAATATATTCTGGAAACGCAAATCGTCATATATATATCGTTTGTTTAAACTCAATTTCAAGTTTCATGTTGGCAAGTTAAAAATTGATCATTTTTAACTTGCCAACAAAAGGCTATTGTAATATTACGGTATTATTATTAATTTGTTCAAGTGAGTATCTTATTTTTAAATCTCCTAGTATCCACTTTATTTATAAGATGTTTTATTTGAATTGACGTGTACTAAAGTATCGTGCTTGGAGAAAATAGTAATCGGTGTGTATGTAAAAGTTCCTTACATCTAATTTTAATTAAATTATTTTATTTAAAAGAATACGGGATATTTGTCATTATTCTTTTCATTAACCAAAGACAAACTCTACGGTAAAGTAAAGAATATATTTGTCACGCACAAAAATAGACAAATTTTTAAAAATTCTACAAAAATCGAATTGTAGGATCACTACAGAGATTTACCCAGGAAGATTAAAATCTTGTATTTAAAAGAAATCAATTCGTAACACCTTTTCATTTCCCGTGTATAACAACTTCCTATCGGTTGAAATATGTTTTCTGTTAGCGAATTTAGTTGCACTAGTGTGCACTGAAGAATCTTAAATATCTCTTGAAATATTTCGTAGCCAATAAAATGTTCCGTACGGATATTTTTTGGCTGAATACTCTTTGAACATGTATTTAAGACAAACTTAAATATAAAAATTGTCTCTAGAAACAGGCCTTAGTGCGCACTAGTGCAAGCAGTGCAAGCAATCGAATTCGCTACATGTTTCTCTTCTGGTTAAATTTACTCCATGACCGTAATCGTCAAGTGTTTCTTTAGTTCTTTACCCGCGCGTTCAGCGTGAATTCGAAGATGGCAGGTGATGGTGTTGTTGACGAACCTATGGAGACTGAGGTTTTGCCGTCCACGAGCAACGGTGATCCGAAAATCAGGGAGAGAGACGGCAAATCAGCAAATTTGCCGTGGTACGTTTCATATCTGCGACAGGAAATTTTATATCCGTCCTTGGATTGTCTCGTCGTTACGAGTTTAGGTTATTTTTCGACTAGATTCTGCGGCTCCAAACAAAGTGGTATATTTGGGATAGACAGGTTGCTAAACGTGATTAGACTTCAAAGGAATATTCCAATTTATTTTAAATTGGTATTTAATTATTAATGTTTAGAGATTGAGAACACAACAATATTGCCGACTTAATATCGTAAATGTTATAAACATTTCTCATTATGTGAAAATGATCGATTATAAAGTGTTAGAAGAAAAAATATAGCTGTTGAAATTGATAATGGCATTGAGAATTGTTTGAGGATCCACCTTTTAACTGTTTTGGATAATATAAGAACATTATTATTACTTCTAAGATTGAGCTACAAAAATATTATTGGTTGTTTAAATATAAAGATGTTATTACTCGTTTTTATTATTCAGGATTGAAAAGTATCGGCCTCAAGTATTTTCCGACATTGTTGGCAACGAAGACACTGTGTCTAGATTAGCTGTTTTTGCTCAGCATGGAAATACTCCAAATATCATCATCGCTGGCCCGCCTGGAGTGGGCAAAACTACCACAATTTTATGTCTTGCTCGGACTTTATTGGGACCAGCGTTCAAAGAAGCCGTACTTGAACTGAACGCCTCAAACGAGAGAGGGATTGATGTAGTTAGAAATAAAATCAAAATGTTTGCTCAGAAAAAGGTAGAGTATATTGGATAGGTAGGACCTTGTTTTTCAAGCAATGTCATACCTCTGTGTGATTATTTTAACTTGCAGGTGAATCTTCCCAAAGGAAAGCACAAGATCATTATTTTAGATGAAGCTGACAGCATGACTGACGGTGCGCAACAGGCGTTACGCCGGACGATGGAAATTTACAGTCACACAACCAGATTTGCTCTCGCATGCAACAATACGGAGGAGATTATCGAACCTATACAGTCGCGCTGTGCTATGTTAAGATACGGAAAGTTAACGGACGCCCAAGTCTTGGCCAAAGTTCTCGAAGTCTGCGAAAAAGAGAATGTAATTGAAATATTACAGAGACGTGAAGGCTTTGACTTGATCTACAGAATTTTTGTTCTTTTACCATTTGTAGATTTCCTACACAGACGATGGTATGGAAGCGATAGTATTTACGGCACAGGGAGACATGAGACAAGCCCTGAACAATCTGCAGTCTACATACAACGGATTTAATCATGTAAACGCGGAAAATGTATTTAAAGTCTGCGACGAGCCGCATCCATTAATTGTCAAAGAGATGCTGGATGATTGTGTGAAGGGCGAAGTTTCTAAAGCATGCACGGTAAAATTACGCGTTCAAAGTATCAATATGTAAAGTTCTCTATTATTAGGTGGGATTCTAATATGAGATAGTAAGTTTTCAACGTCCAAATTTCAATTGCAAACCTTTTTTAGCAACAATTACACGATCTAACAATCAATGTTTCACTAAACTGATTTCACTCCAAGGGCAATAAGTTCATGGTGGAACTAAAAGATAATTTAGCAGAAACCTTGCTATCTCGTATTAGGAATCTATCTCATAATAGGAGCTTTACTTCTGTGTATGCATACCCAGATGTGGCAGTAATAAATTTACATAAATTGGCTAGGTAATGGATCATTTCTGGAAAATGGGGTATTCTGCTGAAGATATAGTCAGTAACGTGTTCAAAGTTTGTAAAAATCACACCATGGATGAAAAGTTGAAACTGAAATTTATCAAGGTAAATTGATGTGCGTTATTGGTACCATGTTATACGAGAGCTTGGTGTCCTGACTTTTTTCGTTAAAGATACAAGATACGCTTTTAATGGATTTAATGGATCAAAGAGATACAGATACAAGTTACATTTCTTGAATTCCTTCGATTTAGATATAGTTGCAAGATGCACCGAATTATTTTTCCGGAGAAAGATAGAGATACAGATAGTATCCGTAACTATATCCTTTAAAAAAAGATACCAAGCTCTGTTATACATAGATTTCACTATTATGTACTCTTAAAATATCCTTAACATATAATTCACAGGAAATTGGATTAACACATATGGGAGTGGTAGAAGGTATCAACAGTTTGTTACAGTTACACGCTTTAGTGGCAAGACTTTGCCGCACATGTGCGTCAAAATAAAATTCTGTAAAATGCCCATATTACCCTCTGTTGCCCTTTAATAAATATATTTATACATTTTCTCTCTACATGTATTTTTTTATGTACGATCTTTGTAATTCTGTCGGGCTTGAAAATACCTCGTCAAAATCTCTTTCCTAAAAACATCGTTTTATTATATTTGTGATATCTACAGCGTATAACGTACGATACAGCTCGTAAATAACGTTGTACACGTGCAACGTGATAATGCGCAACTCATCGGATATTTCGTCGGAAGTAGGGACAAGACTAGCAAATTTAAGAGAAAAATTTATATTCACACATTAACTTATGACGCTCAAATCATATAAAAAAAAACGGTAAATATACCGATGAGGGGAGCCCGCCCCGATGACCTTGACCTTGACATATGTTATCCAGGTCACTCCTGAGTGACCTTCAGAAGATTTTAGCCGTTGCTCGTGGTTCGTTAAAAAGTTATTAAAGAAACAATGTGGTAAAAATGCCGAATAGGGGACCCCTCCTACGAACTTGACCTTGACGTACGTTGTCAAGGACACCTTACTGAGTAACGTAAAAGAGGTTTTAACCGTCGCTCGCTGTTCGTAAAAAAGTTATTGCCAAAAATTTTCATAAACACGTAAGTTGCAAGTACGTTTCGCATGGCGCGCCTATACCCCCTCCCCGCCCCCACTTCCCGTTAAAAAATAACCCTACCCAATGAGAAATGGTTCGTCGATCGACGTCGAAATGAAGTCGAATCGACGTCAATTCGACGGTGTCGATGTCGATTCGACGTCCTTTCGACGTCGATTGACGAATCATTTCTCACTGGGTACCCACCTATGTCCGAGATGTGGAGTGGATCTCGCTTCACGTGGAAAGTCGCAAACCCATGTGGAACAGTACAACGATGGAAGTATATGCGTGGAGACAGATATGTTCCGCCCCCCTTCGGGGGGCCCAATTTAACTTCGTTAAGATATAACCTTACCCAAACAAACCTAGTGTATTATCTGCTTTACCCGAGTATCACCCGTGATAACCCGTGTCTACATGTATATGAGGTCTGAAAATTATATATAATTCGTTAATTAACATTGTTCTTTTAATAACTTTTTAACGAACCACGAGCGACGGCTAAAACCTTCTGAAGGTCACTCAGGAGGGTGACCTTGATAACATACCATATATGTCAAGGTCAAGGTCATCGGGGCGGTCTCCCCTCATCGGTATACTTATCAAAAAAACTTACAAATAGTACTATATGTGCATTCTTAATTTGTAATAGCCGTAAAGATAAAGATCATAAGTATACGTATATTCTGTACGTTAAACGTAATTTGTACGAAATATTATTTCTACGTAATATTAATTTCTTATTATTATAACGTTGCGGTATAAAGTTTTTAAGTGTATATTTGTGAAATATATTGTACTCAAAATTCTGGTTATTCTATTCCAAAGATAAACCACGCGATAACTTTGTACATTTATACACTTAACTAGTGGAAACATACTTAACGTTATAAACCTTACGAGATTGTAATATATTGAGTGTATCATCTTTAGAATTGCCTTAGCTGATATTAATATTATTATATGCTTTTCTTGAAAACATTGTCCATTAAATTACACAATTAAAACTACAAAGATAAGCTAATATTTCATTAGCTGTAGGAAAATGCGAATACAAATTACATACCTATAGATCGCAATATTCACCTAAATCTAATGTCGAAATGTATGTACATACATTAGGCTCTTGAACTTATAGTAAGTCGATTAATTATATCAGGCGAGTGTGCAGTTAATTTCAAGGAAAATTAAAGAACATAATCTCTCGGAAAGCGAAAATAAGTGTGTACGAAACATATTATAGATCCTAGGTGCGCATTTTTAGGATTTGCATGGCGCCTTTATATTTAAAGTCGAGTTCTATCCGTAATAATATATGTGATTTATCAGTCTTGTCTTACATTTTTTCATTCTTTCGAACGAGATGAATATCGAATATGAATAAAAATGCGCAGATATTCATCTCGTACGAAAGAATGAAAAGTGAAATGAAATCTTTAGATTTGCATGTCTAAACTAAAAGATATCTCAAAAATGCCTTTTAGATACACATGCTGTCTGGGATTGATCTTAAATTTTATCGTTGCCACATGACGCGCCTCTGATATGACATATCATAATTATTATGCAAAAGTATTTTATATCGTTCACTTAGAACTAATCTTGATGAGAAACTTGGTTTGCAATATAATCAACTACAAACTGTGTGCGTCTCAACCTTGAAACATTTTGCTGAAAGTATCTATTATGAAATCGATAAAAAGTGAAATAAAAGTTATTGAAAAATGATGATTACTGATTGTATCTCAAAATAAATCAATGTAGAATGCGCTAGTCATTGGATTCGATAAAGTAGGTGCGCAGATCGAACTTCATCTCCAACGCATCATCAGTTTGCAATATAATCAACTACAAACTGTACACATCTTAACCTTGGAAACATTTTGCTGAATTCTGCATCTACTGTGAAATCGATGAAAAGTGAAATAAAATTGAAAAATGATTACTGATTGTATCACAATTTTTTTCATAAAATTCAATGTAATATTGTGAAATATAAGGGAAGTTATTGTTAAAAAGAAAAAGATTATTAGAAATATTATATGTTATAGAATTTATTAAACTGAACGAAAAACTGTTACTTTCCAATAAAATAATGATAATGCAAACTTAAAGTAAATTATATACATATACAGGG